CCAATGATCATCACCCCGGATATTACTGACTCCGATGATGATCTTTACGCCCAAGATTTCGAGATGCGTCAACGCACAATCATTGATCTATGGACCCGAGTTCAATCAGATTTTTTTGAAAATAAAGATCACAATGTTGATCGCACGGAAGACAATCATATTGAAGACCCACCGGATGATCCTGACTCCAGCAGTGATAAAGATGAATCTGACTGCTCGGAGAGGGTCGTAGCCAACGACGACAATGATGACTGAGCTCCCTTCTCAAGCCTAGAGGTTTGTCCATTTTAGAACCATCCTTGTGGGTCTTTCTTTTTCACTGATAGCGCGGCATTTCTCCAGCAATTATTTGGCTTATTGGTGCTGGGATCTACTCGCACAATCATGTCCCAACGTCAATATGAACATGTTCGCTCATACGTGGGTTTGTTAGGAATTAGCCTTCCCGGATACAAAAGTATCCAGAATCTCCGCCGCAGACTGAAACAAACGTACGAATTTGATGTTTCCGAGAATGTTGGCCCTCTTGGAAAAACTACTTTTGCGCTGAAAGTTAAACAAGTACTAGCGCAAGTAAGTTTTTTACATTGTTCATGACTGCCTTTAATCATCAGTTCACTGAGGAAATTCCCGTAGGAATTAGCCAACCCATTTGTCTGCGACAACCTGCAATTCATACCTGAATTGCCAAGCAATACTGACAAAGTAGACCGCTTTGCTCAATCAAAGAAGTGGAGAGAGGACTTAGACCGGAATCTACGTGTTCAGATGGTCGAATTACCACAAGGACATTTTTATATCTTTGAGCCTGTCCAGCTCAAAAACAAACAAATCATCATTCCGGCATTTTTCTATTGACAGGGCAAGGAGATATTCACCAAATGCGCTGCTGCTCATCAAAGTCTTCAAAAAGATGCAGATGGCCAACCAAAGATCCGCGTGTACTTCGACTCGACTTCGGATCTCAACTCACCAGTATTAACAGCTATCAACGTGAAGGAGTTTTCAAAGGTAGTTGACACAATTGAGATACGTGAGGGTGTCATGATGAAGACGTATTGTGGGGATTCAATGTATGGTAAGTCTTTGACTAAATTGTTTTGTTAAGGATCCTCAAGCTGAACTGTCATTTTCTGTTGCAGAGGATGTCGGCGCTGGAACATTCTTGCGAGTTCCTTTACCGAATCCATGGCAAATTAAGGCTAAAGGCAAAATTATCCGCCACGTTCCTCTTGTCATGTATTGCAATGATTTGTCGGGTAATATATCAAAGCGCTGGAATAAACACATTGCTTTTTATTGCACGCTAGCCGGTTTACCTCCGAAATTGTCCAATCAAGAATACAATTGTCATTTCTTGACAACTTCGAACTCAGCGGGTGCTCTGGAGCTGGCTGACCCTTTGGTGGATGAGCTCAAGTAAGTGATTCAGATAATTTCAGATCATTTTGGATAATAATCTGAATTACTTGTTTTTAATTATGCTATAGCCAAATAGCCACAGACGGATTTGTGGCGTACGATCATCAGGCGCAGGCGGAAGTACTCGTGATGACCGTCGTATTGTGTCATTTGGGTGATTCACCCATGCACGCGGAGGTGTCCAACACAATGAATCCAACTGTGTCTTTATCGCCTTGTCGTGTATGCGCGTTGAAGGTGGAAACATTGATCCAGAAGAGGTCACCAAAATACGTGAGCAACTTTGTTGGTGTTGACGAACGGGGACGCAAGGTAAATTGTTTCTTATTTTTCAACCAAGCTTTGGGATCAACTCAATATTAACAGCCATTCACTTGACGCCAGTTGTGCCTGCCAACCCGGATCTGGTCAGAGACTAAGCAAGGTACAGAAGACCTCTGGAAACTGTCACAACGGCCAGGGACAATCGGGCTTTTGAAAAGGAATCTGGGAAATTGGGAATCAAAGATACTCTCAATACTTTCTTTGTCAGGCAGGTTCAAGACTTCTTTTGAGAACCAAATAGGTCAAAAGCAGACGTGGAACAGATGTGCAAGGACCTCAACAATGCTTTTGGAGAGCGTCTGTTCAATCCATTCCTACGCTTGAAAGGTGGGTGTGAAGCCCTCAAGACATCATTTATTGTCAGTGCAACTAACTTGAGCGACTGCAATCTAGGATTTGATGGACATCTAGACACCCCTGTGGAAATCCTCCACGTACTTTTATTGGGCCTGGCGAAGTATTTACTACGAGACAGAATGCAGAAATGCACTGCCGCCGAAAAGAATGACATATGGGGTTGATGGCGATCTTTCAACACCTCTGGGTTGAATGTTCCTCCCATTCAACCCAAGTCAATGATCAACCACTTTCTCAGTTTAACTGGAAAGGAGTTTCGTGTGGTGCTGCAAGCAGCTCCATTCATTTTCTTTCATTGTTCATTATTGGATGAAGAACGTGAGGCTTGGACTTCTTTAGCTCATCTGGCACCTTATATATTTCAGACAGGCATTCACGACATGAAGGCATACATCAAGGAGCTTCGGATTCTCATCGATAGATTTCTCCGATCAATCTTACAACTCTCAGCTCAATGGTGCAATAAACCAAAATTTCACATGCTTATTCATATCTGCAATGCAATTGAAAGGTATGGTCCTGCATGCCTGTTTGCCACTGAAAACTTCGAAGGTTACAATGGGAACACTCGCGAGTCTTCCATCCACTCAAACCATCTGAGTCCTAGTAAGGACATTGCAAACTCATTCAACAATCACCGACTCATCAGATCAGTTACGGCGGCAAGTCTGATGTATGACCAAGGCATGCGTACTTCTGTGAAGGCTGGAAGGAAGGTTGCAGAGTTATTCAAAACTAACATCCTGTTCCAAAAGGCGTTGGGATATAATTCCAAATGGAATGAGCCAGAGACATTTAAGACAGGAAGTGCGTCACCAGTGTTTGATTTCCTTTGGCTACATGCGCAATCTAATGTGATGGTTTTTTAGGGATTCATTCTGCACAACCACCACAACCCAATATCCCAACGGCGATCTGGGAGGCTTACCCGTCAAAAACATGGAAGGTTTTATCTTCTTTAACTTTGAAGAATGGTCAATCCTTCAGAGAAGGAGACTTTATCTCGGTATGCACTGTCTATCACAATCACTGTCTGATCTGATAGCAAAAAATACTTATGCGTGGAATAATTCTCAAAAATTAGGTTCAATCAAAACATTTGCTTACTCGATACACATCAGATAAGATAATTGGAAGAGTTAAGAGTATATGGATCGCAGCGGGATGCGCGGCACAAGAGGCAAAGATTGAAGTAACAAGGTGCAAGACAGGAACGGTCAGTGAACTATACGGCATGCGCGAACTGGAAGAAAGTGGGGTAAAGGTATGGATAAATCCATCAGTAAGTGTTCGCCTCCTCTGATTGCCAACCTCACTCCAAGAACTCATATAATGTGATTTATTCAATGTGATTTGTTTTCTGTAGGATATCGAGGGTATCCTCAACATCCAACACGATTGCCATAAAAGCGGCTGTGTCGTCAAAAAGGACAGACCCGTCATGCTTGAAAGGCGAGTTTCCACAAATCGAGAGTATGTGGTTGTCCATGAGGATACCAGATCATTTGTCATAAACTCAGGGGCATTTTATTCAGCGGCTTTACATCGATATTGGGCACAAATTTTGTTTGTTGGGGTCACTGCAAATGAATGGAAGAAAGCGGTTTCCACTGGGATCAAAAATTGGGAGGCCTCATTACAGAAGAAAAAAGACAACCAGGAAAGTAAACATCAAAAAAGAAAGGAGAAGGAAGCAGCCACCCAAGGCGCACAGAAAGGAAAGAAAAGGAAACCGAATAACGGTGCAGTTGCAGGGCCATCACGATGAAGGAGTTTGTTGTTATACTGCAAAGATATTTAACATTAATAATTGATATTGTATTATATTGTATTATATTTATTGATGGAAATTTCAACTTACATTGCAATCCTCTGACAACTTAAGTGTCTTTCTTAGTGTCCGTGTCTTTCTTAGTGTCCTTTGAGCGCAAGTAGTCCACACATTCCTTTCGAAGTAGTCTCATCTTTTTGGTCATTTGAATCGGCAACACAATATCGCCGTTAAAAGGTGCTTCGAAATAGTGCATTTGAACTTGAAGTTGCATGAACTTCTGGTACCACAACTCTTTGAGGATCATTAATTTGCGTGCATATTCGAGACATTGGAAGCCATGTTCAAGTCTAGAGTCGCTGCTTGACGCATTCGCATCCATCTTTGTAAAGTCTACGTGAGAAGATGTTTCAAAATGTGAGATGAACAGTAACAAAGCAAGGATTACGACATACATTTTTCTGAATGAGGATTCAACAAAGCAAAGTCAAAGGAAAGGTTTTAGTGAAAGGTTTTCCAATATGAGTGCGGACACAACAAGCCTCATAAAGCTTTTTGAATGCGCATTGGAAACCCTGTGAAGCAAAAGATAACCAAACTTCCAGAGTGATCTCGCAATCGCGGAAAGATCCTTTAAGATCTTGATATCATATCAAACCTTTTCTCATGTTTCGACTTTCGAGGTTCCTTTGGGTCAATCACAATCTCAATTTAGTGTCTCGTGATGACAAATGTATGGCAGTCAAACATCCTTTGATGAACCATATCCCCGAGATATCATTTGCTTTTGACATGCAAGGAATCCAATTAACAGCTTGTGGATCTTTGTTGTTTTTCTAGAAGGAAGGTGATCATTTCTTATAATATTTTCACTTCAATTCCAAACTCATGAATATCTTCCTTCTCAAATACATTTTCAATTCCTATTCAGTTCATTGCACCTTCTCTCAGTGTTCTCTCGTGACGTCCTCATCAGGCATCTTCATATAATTCCCTTTGGCAATGTGCGTCATCTTGCATGTCACATGCAAATGTCACAAATAATGTGACATATCTCCCACGTCTTCCACCCGTTTCTCTGAACTTCTCAATTACATCACTCCACCACACCCATCATTCAACAAACATGTCTCAACCACAACGCCGATTCTTTCCCAAGCCACCAAAGAAACATGTACCTCCAGGATCAGCCGCTACTCCAACCACCTCCCAGAATCCGAGTACCAATCGACGTACTCGCAATCAAACCAAACCGGCTACGTCAACAGCTCCGCCGACTAGACCTGTCACCAAACGCCGGGCAAGTGAACGCACCAAGGCCGCATCTGAACAACCTCAGCCAAAGCAAGCCAAGCTAACTCAGACTCAGGCGGTGAAATCCAAGAAGATGGTCAATCGTCCTCCTCCACGAAAACCATCTCCTCGACGTCGTACCCCGACTCCAACTCCTCCTGCAACTCCTCCTCGACATCGTACTCCAACTCCTCCTCCTCCTGCGTCATCTGGATCTCTTTTACGGGATCCATTCAACCAGAAAGATTTAGATATGTTTAGCTTCAAATCAGCTGCACAAATTGGTGCGTTTTCTTCTTTCTTTCTCTCTTGTCTTATCTCTTCTCTCTGTCTTGATTTTCTTCTTTACTGACTGGACTGATTCACACTTTGCCATAGCCCAAGCCCACAAATACGGCCCGGACGAGTACGTAACTCAGAAAAAAACTCGCAACAACACCCATCACTGCACCACCAACAACGACACCAGCAGCAGTCGTGCACCAGCAAGGGTTCACCAAGTCGATTTTCACTCAGCTCGTCTTCCGAACGGATTTATGCCCTTGCAGGGTTCACGATTACAGATCTACAACTGATGTGCTGTCCGTGCTGATCTCGACAACCAATATATGGCAAGCGGACGTGAAATATGTAGTGTAAGATTTCACGTTGATGACTTGTCTAGCGTGTAACCACTGATCTATTAAATCTTCCCTTTGGCAGGCGATGACGCCTGACAAACAATTTATAGCCTCAACCACAGTTGCGCTGGCAAATTGTCAACAGATGACCAATATATACAACGACCTCACTCGACAGATTGGTGAAATTCGGGATCTTGTGTCACGACAAGGCCATGGCGTCTCCGGCAACGCTGCCACGGCAGCGCCTTGGCTTTCAAAAGTGGATGGTCAGGAGCTACGAGTGAGTCCACCACCAACAGTGTAATTTTAACAATAACTTGAACACATTAATCACATCGTGTATCATAGAAATCTATTCGCCAAAGCGCGATGAAGGCAATTTTACGAGGTGACCTGCAGGCTTATACAGCAACCAAGAACCAATATGGCGACAAGGCAACACTCCCAGTTTCTTTATATGCTGCAGTAATGGTAAATCATTTATATTTCTTATTTATTTTGAATCAAGCTGAATACTTATAACATTTCCAGGACGCAATCATGTCCAATCCCATTAAATGGCAAAAACGGTTGCTTCCGAAAGGCTATGGCAAGAATGCCAAACCCCTCCAAGTCAAGGCCGTGAAGACCCTGGTCAATGTTGTCTTGAAAGAAGTGCGAAAAGTATTTGAAACAGAGGTACGTTGTTGTGTCTTCTTTTGGAATAATTTCTGACTGTTTCCTTTTGACTTTCAGCTGCTTCAAAGCATCCAACTGCCCGGCCGACGCACCACCACAGACAATGGTAGTGTACCATCGTTGAATACGATTGTCGCCAATGTATGTGCGCGTATTCCTTTTCTCATCTGGCCCAAACTAATCTTTGTGTGACATAGCTTTACGATAAAGAAATTGGTCAAATAGGAGGTCGAGTTCCTGTTCGCGATGAGGTCTTTGATCAGGTGGGACATCTGCAAAAGTCCCGTTATGCTTACCTTGTGCGTCGCTTCGACCGTATCCTTTCAGAGGGTTCTCTTTCATTTTTAATCTGTTGACGGTGGTATTTTATTTGTCTCATCTCAGAGACTGCAAGCCTGTCATTGGGGCTTTTACAAGAAAGATTACAGAGACGGTGCGACATTTTGGAGCATCGTGGACGAGAAATTGGAGTTTCTGCGGGGTCAAAGTAGCAGGTATTGACATGCGTAAGTGATTCTCCTCTATATAAAATTGAAATGGCACGCTGGCTCATTACCACCAATGTGTATCAGATTCTACATTCAATGTTTAACGGAGGACAATGAGCTATTCCAGGGCAAGAAGACATTGGCGGAAATCAGACCCCTCACCTTGTTCCCAATTCCCAACGAGATTGTCATCCAGGAGATTATGGATAATCTCAATGATACATGGGGTGATACTGTTCCAGCGGATGAAGAACTTCATGCAATGAAGAAGTTCCCCGCGAAGAATGATAACAATGAGAATGATGGTGATGATGATGATGATGATGCGGGGTTAGAAGAAGAAGAAGAAGCAGGGTTTGATGAAGAAGCAGAAGAAGAAGAAGAAGCAGAAGAAGCAGAAGAAGAAGCAGAAGAAGAAGAAGAAGACGAAGATGCAGGGTTTGATGATGAAGAATGAGAATTATGAACAGGCGGGTATATTATTAGATTATTTATATTTCATTTTATCATTCATTTCATTTCATTTTAAGTGTGGTTACAAACAATCAGATATAGAATTTATTACATTTCTCACATTTTTTATTATCTTATCATCCATCTTATCTATTTATGTTTATTTATTTGTATTTATATTTGTATTAATTTCAATGAAAGACATTGCCTTTGTTAGTGTTCATTAAACCCACAGAGCCACAGCAGAGACATCGTGAGAGTACTGTAAAAAATATGTGCTACTGCAATTGTAATTATAGAGGTCAATTCGGGGTTAAACCCGTGTCTGAAGACCCGGTTTTGAAACCAGTCGGCGGAGGAAGGTTGAGAAACCGTTTCTGCTCACCAAGCCATTTTGGTTGAAAAACCAAAAATATGCACCGGTTGCTAAACCGTTTCGAGGGGTTCGTGGTGTAGTCAGGATATTTAGTTTTGAAGTACTCAAGTCGAAGCCTTGGATTGAGGATAGTGGCCATGACAATTGGATCACAGTGAAGGGATTCCGTCTGATAATTGCGGAGCTGTTTGATCATCCCGCCAATCATGTTGGATAAATCTTGATACGGAGTCTTCTGTTTGATACTGGTAAGCACAGATATCAAACCAGAGTATTGAAAAAGGACGGAGGCACCAGTTGGGCCATAACCTTCCATCTTCTTGGTTGATTGAAGAAAGTACTAACATTTTTCAAATCAGGACGGGTAATGTGTAAGATGAATCGAAAAAGGTTAAACTAACATTAAGGACTTCATTCAAGGCTTCGATAGCTTTCCACTCATTGGGCAAGATGGTGATCCCTTCATAAAATCCCTCTTGATCTTTGTTGATCATGAAGTTGATGACCTTGAAGAAGAAAGTTCATATAGAGTTGAAATAAGGAAAGTAAGTAAACGGTTTAAGTAAATCAATTGTAATCTGAATTGCTTACCGGCTTTGCTTTACACAGTCGTGTTTGCGCGTCAAACCAGATATTCCACGTTTGACCGTGGGCAGCAATCAGTCCTCCGCCAATAAAAGCCAGCTGAGCTGCACATGTCTTGAAGTGGTTGAGACGTGGAGCACTTGAGGTGATCAGTTTATGGATTCGTCGTACCTGTGAGCATCCAGAAAGTATTAGCATGTTTTCAAACCGAGTTCAAAATAGATGTAGTAGATTAACCTTGGTAACTGCTTGGGTTAAAAGAGATCCATCAGTTCTTTGTGTCTTGTAGTCGGGAGCTTGATCTTCATCCTGCAAATCTTTACCAGCCTCCATATCTTGACCTTCAGCAGGATACACCATGTAAATATCCGTGTAGCACGTCGACGTGCACACACGGAGAGTTTTGAAATAAATCTCAAAGTCTTTTGGTCGGATTGAGACTGAGATTTTTGTTGAGCGCCCTTTGTGCTTTGTGATTTGTTTAAAGGATTTGCAGAATCCTTTGTTGTCAGTGGGGGCCAACTGACTTTCAACCTCCCAGGTGATAAGGGGAATATGTACTTGTCGTGGAACCTCTTTGATGGGTTGTTACAGGGTCCAAGGAAAGTCTTTTGTGTGTGCACGTTGATGTGCTACACGGATATTTACATGGTGATACATGTCTTCTCTTTCATTATCACTGTTGTTCTGATTGTCCTTGCCATTTTCATCTAACACCGTGCCGTCAGCCATCACAATCTTTGGCAGGGGGAGATGATTGTCAGGAAGTAGCAGTTGAAGACGTTTTCCGGATGGTATGGTTGGTTTTGTTTGACCGTGATCTCCTAATCTGATCACCTCAAGGCTGGCCTTCACTGTCAATGCCAGTTTGTGACAGTAACACAGGATTTGATTGCGAGAGGAATTCCAAAATATTGGATCGTCACAATCCATGAACATCGATTCGAGTTCCTTGGCCAGGATAGGGTTGCTGGAACCTGAGTCAGTTGTCTGTGCAAGCATGTGTCATTCACAAAAAAAATGAAAACAAATCATAAGATAAGGTGACAAATGATAGAGTCCGAAATAATGAAAGATTAAATAGAAGACTTATTTTTTTGTGAAGACCATGTCATCCATTTCTTTCCCGAGGAGGGAGCAAGTCCGATTGACTACAGAGGGAGGGTTACAGTAGTTGGTTTCCTGAAACCTCCTACTGTTATCTTCACACTCCAGAGAAGCACCTCTCCTCTCAAATCTGTCCTACCAGAATCCAGTACTGAGTCTTCCTTGACTCACATACCTTCATGCGTGGTGTGGGGATGGCCCCAAAGAGGGGTGGGGAGGTCACGAGCTAGGTCCTTGGACCTTTCCCGTGAGTCCGCCCCTATTTGGGGAGAGAACAGACCTGAGAAGGTAAGACTTCTCAACCCCACCTCACGAGTGCAGGAGAACCATGAGCCGGAGAAGTCGAACCCCCCAACTCACCGCTCTCGTGCAGGCCACCCTTACCCTTGACACTACGGTCAACAATTATGAGGGCGTCTTACTCGTCCGACGCCTCCCGATAGAGCACATACAGTGACAATCTTAAAGCCAATAGCTTAAATACCTTACCCCAGGTTGTCTAGATGTACAATCGTACAGATGATCTTCCCAAACCTTAAACTCAATGGTCAGAACTCCACTGAGCGATCTGTGGATCTCTTGCATTTAATATCTCCATCACCTCACATTTCATACCATCACTAAAAACAAAGATCTATCATCGAACATCTAAAACTCCAACCTTTCATTATTTCAAGACCTTGCTCTCCAACCGCTCAATCCTCTTCTAGCCGAATTGACTTCAACAACTTTATAGTTTCTTTTAGCTCTTGATCACTGAATTTGCGTAAGTAGACTTTGTAAGCTTCAGAGGCCCAGCGACCGCATCTCATAACCTCCTCTCGTGTAGCTCCCAGATTCCAACGAAGTGAAGCTCCACCGATCCGGAAGGAATGACCGTACAGGGCTTGTGCCTTCCCCGACTTCGAATCGCTCCAGACCTCCCTCAGCCGTTGTACCCCCATCCTCTTCTTAAACCCTCTCAGCATACCATCTACTTCGAAAGCGAACACCGGATCAGTCGGTCTTTTGGGCCTCCAATTATAGAGCAGTTTCAGTACCCTTATCGGATCAAGGCTGGACTTTTGGCGGCAAAGCGTAATATACTGTATCTCTCCTGGACCAGCAGTTTTCGCTCCATGCAAGGCTATTTTGACGTAGGATAAATCTTCTGTCCATTTCACGTCATCCCAGATCGGGATTTGCTTATTGGCCTCATCTGTTACCAGTTCACCCAGTCTCGCCGTGCCCCAAAAGGCTACCAGAGCGATTGCCAGCACTACCAAATCCTGTTCGTGTCGAGGAGATAGAACGTCTACCAACGCTAGGAGGTCCGAAATCATTACCGGGGGGCGAAGACGACGTGCAACTTGGATGTCTATTTCAACCTGAAGAGACGCCCGTAGAAGCACCGCTACCGTGGCATCCTGGCTCGAAGGGTAAGCTTTCCGATGAAATTTGTGCCACACCTTTATCCCCGCAATATAAGACTTCAATGTCGTAGTCTTGACTGACTCATCCTCTTTAGCCAGGCTTTCATGTTTCTTCGATGCCCAAACAACAAACGAGAGGAGCGTATCCGGATTGATCGGAAGTAACAAGGTCTTATCCACTGACTTCACCTCCGCGAATCTTAGCAATTTCACCACACCAGAGTTATAATGTCTAAGGGTACCATCTTTCCAAGAGCCTCTGAGAAATTGTTGTTGGATCTCGTCTGTGTCGGATCAGTCAATCCCCAAAGCATCCTTCTTGAAAGTCCCGAAAGGCTTCGTTAGTTTCTTCAGCTCGATGATTTCTGTGACCTTCCCTCCGTCACCTTCTATTTGACGGTGCTTCGTTTTTTGCATCCTCTGAGCCAGACTGTTGAGGGGTGACCTGGGTGACAAAAGGTTGCAGATCTGGCGGGATCGTTATCAAAACCTCAAAGGGCCAAAGTAGGTCTTTCAGTTCCCCCCTAGACAAAGCATCTGCCTTGTTATCTTTTGATGAAACCCGTTTCTGCTTGATATTACAGCCTAACTTGGTCAGCAAACGTTGGATCAACTTCCACTCGTCGTTAACGTCTCGATCCCTCGACTTCCGTTTCCGGATAGCGTGCTCTGTAGTCGTGTTATCCGTATGTACCCAAAACCTTCTGCCCTTCACTTTTGTGGTCCTATCAAGGACCAGCAGGCCGAGACAGACAGCTACCGTCTCTGCCCAGGCAATCCTACGTAGACCTGACGCCTTATCCTTGTTCTGCCAAGCATCCACAAACTTGAAGCAGGCCCAATACTTGCCTACCAATACTCCAATCCTGGATCCAAGAAGAAGTCACCCGCTCCTGGTCAGTTTCATTCCTCAACACCTGGCCCTCCTAACGTGTCAGCGCTACTCACCCATATGAGGAGGCCGCATCTCCTACCCACCCTACCTCCTCCGGGGTAGGGTTTGGTACAATAGGGCAGGCGTCGAACGTGGCAAGACATTCATCCCACTCCAACAGATCTTTGTGTACATCTTCTGGGGTCTTCCTCCTCGCATGGTCATTCTTCCATCCCTTCTTCCACCTATACATGGAATTCATATAAGGGGCCATATGCGGCACGATGCACACCGTATGTGCCAGGCAGCCTACCAGCGTATTGACCTGTGATAGTTTCCAGCTCTCGGAGCAATTCAAGAAATCCTTGGCCTGTGCCTTCCTCTGGTCCAACTTTTCGGTAGGTAAACGTACAGTGTGCTTCCCGCCATTCCAGACAAAGCCAAGGTACCTTTGTTCCTTTCTAAAATCCCTGTTTTTCTTTGGGTTTGTGACCACTCCCATTGAAAGACTTAACTCTTTGATCTCTCTTAGTGACTCCTTCTTTCCTGGTCGTCGAAAGATTAAGTTATCGTCTACCCAACGGAAAATAACAGGGAAGCCTAATTTCTTGATAATAATCCATTTCCAGGTTTCCGCAGGTGCACCAAAA